ACAGTCCAAGCCAAAAACTTGTTATAACTTCCTTCAATCTTTTCTGCATGTACACCTGCAAGCTTTTCACTCCTTTTTCAAACTATTTGGTGTAATTATCCTGTTAAATGCCCTCTCACAAATCCACTGGAACTGTGTGACCATTATACTGGAATAGTGTGACCAAGTTGCTAAAAGCTGGCCACAATGTGTGACAAAGTCTAAAAATGGGAGATGAAATTAGGTTTACCAAGCTTAAAAAGGTATGTGCTTTTTCTACAAAAATATCACTCTATTGTGTTTTGGCACTTCCAACATGCTGGAAAGTGGCAACTTATGCTTTACCCAAAAAGGACAAAATATTCACAATGTGTCATATATTTGAATATATTCTGCTGCATAGATCTATAAATTTTTAGAAAGAATTGTTACAATTTAAGTAGGAATATAACGTGGCTCAAGATAGAGAAGATATAATTAGATAGTTTAAACTGCAGCTGCTGTTGAAGCACTGCTCCAAAGTTTCAGTTCTCTCTTTCTATGATTGCACTTGGATTGGCCAATTGTTAAAATACAAAAAATATCCTCTAAGGATTTATTGTAGTAAACAAAGTCAACAACAAAAAAAACTATTCCACATAACCAAATTATGGAAGGAAATGCATAATAGTTATATTACTGTATATTAAGAACCCCCAACTTTTGGGTGCACAGATAAATGTTAATAAAGCATAATGTCATAACTATACTTACTGAATTAATTTGGCAATCCATCAAATTTGAAAATTACTCCCATATGTAAACAATTGCTATCTTTCTCTCTCTCCTGCCTTACCACAAACAATTCCTCTTCAAGCAATACCTTTGAACATACAACCAAGCAGCTTTTCAACTTTGTAAAGTTATGCTGTGTTGTCAATAAGTGGTTAGTTATCCAAAGATATGGGATGATTGTCTAAAGACAATAAGGATTGTATTCATAAAGACTGGTTTGCCAGACACATCCCAAACATGGATGCTCATCAATATTTCTGCATTGAGCACAAAGTCTGAGTTCATGTGAGCATATTATCAGAAGAGATCTACACAAGAGACCTGAAAGAAAAATAGGGAAATCACTGGATCTGCCAAACAGACCTACAGTATCCAAAATCACTGTGAAAAAGGCCTCACATGGGCCATCCATGGTCCTTCCCCAGAAAAATGGGTACTTCCCCCAATATTAAACTTTTTTCAGAATCCCTACCTATATAGGCCACCATGCATCGTCATCTCTCATATTACCTTTTTTAATGGAAAGTTGTGCAATCTAGATTGATTTTGGCTGTAAAAGTGATTTTTTTAAAAAAAACTGTTATATTGCATTCATCTTTATGATTATGCTTTCTATTCATCAATAGAATCTTCTATCTTTCAGCCATTAAGCCTTGGCTTCATTTCTGACTCCCTGGTTTTGCCAGCTACATTCAACAAGGTCACTTTTGATAATGAAGTCTTTATAAAAACACATGCCTTTTGCTTTGGTTCCTTAGTTCAGAGTTCCCCAACCTTTTCAGCTTTGTGGATTGGCGGTGGGGAGGGGTTGGTTCCACGTGCTACAGGCAAGTACATGCACACTCCTTTGCATGACCAATAGGCATGCTCACCCACCACTCATGCAAATGGACCATGTGTGCACATGCTCACCCACTGCTCGCGTAAATGGGGATATGCATAAATGTGCTCACCTGCCACTTCTGCGGTCCACTTCTGAAAGGCTCAATGCCAGGCATTGTGCTGTGGCCTGGGGATTGGAGACCCCCTTAACTAAATTAGCAATTAATATAATACAAATATTCTCCTTTCCCTTGGGTATTAGCAACCTTTTCTCTAGTCTTGCAATTGCTCCATTTTGATCTGCTCTTTTATCCAGAACCTCAGAGTCAAAATCATTTCACTCTTCATTATTCATATCTTGGTAGAGTTTTTACTGCAATTCATCACTGATTTTAGAGATGGCTTGCCTTGCCTTCTCTGCTTTGTGGGTTAATAATCTGAAGATATGAGTAGTTTAGTAGACCAATCCAGGGATGCGATTCTGCCAGTTTGGACCGGTTTGGGCGAACTGGTACTTCCAGCAATCAGTTGGCTCTGCCCACCTGCTCAGGCCCTAGTCTGTCCTTTATTTCCATGTTTTGCAGCTCACCTGATTCATGTGGCACAGTGGATTCCCCCCATCAGCTGTTTTACTCACTGAGGCTCAGTAGAAGGTAAGTTTTAGAGCTGAAAATGGGCAGTTTTCAAATGCTGCTCACATGCACAAAGTATGCGCTCACCAAATCGGTTGTTACACCAATTGAATCCCACTCCTTGTATCTATTCCAGTGAATTATATTCATTCAAGTACTGCAAGAACAAGAATCCCACCTGGCAGTAAACTACACTGCTCAAAAGAATAAAGGGAACACTTAAACAACACAATGCAACTCCAAGTCAATTACACTTCTGTGAAATCAAACTGTCCACTTAGGTAGCAACACTGATTGACAATCAATTTCACATGCTGTTGTGCAAATGGAAGAGACAACAGATGGAAAGCATAGGCAGTTAGCAAGACATCCCCAATAAAGGAGCGGTTCTGCAGGTGGTGACCACAGACCACTTCTCAGTTCCTATGCTTTCTGGCTGATGGTTTGGTCACTTTTGAATGCTGGCAGTGCTTTCACTCTAGTGGCAGCATGAGACGGAGTCTACAACCCACACAAGTGGCTCAGGTAGTGCAGCTCATCTAGGATGGCACATCAACGCGAGCTGTGGCAAGAAGGTTTGCTGTGTCTGTCAGCGTAGTGTCCAGAGCATGGAGGTGCTACCAGGAGACAGGCCAGTACATCAGAAGATGTGGAGGAGGCCGTGGGAGGGCAACAACCCAGCATCAGGACCGCTACCTCCGCCTTTGTGCAAGGAGGGACAGGAGGAGCACTGCCAGAGCCCTGCAAAATGACCTTCAGTGGGCCACAAATGTGCATGTGACTGCTCAAACGGTCAGAAACAGACTCCATGAGGGTGGTATAAAGGCCCAACGTCCACAGGTGGGGGTTATGCTTACAGCCCAACAGCATGCAGGATGTTTGGCATTTGCCAGAGAACACCAAGATTGGCAAATTCACCACTGGTGCCCTGTGCTCTTCACAGATGAAAGCAGGTTCACACTGAGCACATGTGACAGACATGACAGGGTCTGGAGATGCCATGGAGAATGTTTTGCTGCCTGCAACATCCTCCAGCATGACTGGTTTGGCAGTGGGTCAGTAATGGTGTGGGGTGGCATTTCTTTAGGGGGCCGCACAGCCCTCTATGTATTCACCAGAGGTAGCCTAACTGCTATTAGGTACCGAGATGAGATCCTCAGACCCCTTGTGAGACCATGACCATATGCTGGTGTGGTTGGCCCTGGGTTCCTCCTAATGCACGACAATGCTAGACCTCATGTGGCTGGAGTGTGTCAGCAGTTCCTGCAAGATGAAGGCATTGATGCTATGGACTGGCCTGCCCGTTCCCCAGACCTGAATCCAATTGAGCACATCTGGGACATCATGTCTCGCTCCATCCACCAACGCCATGTTGCACCACAGACTGTCCAGGAATTGGGGGATGCTTTAGTCCAGGTGCGGGAGGAGATCCCTCAGGAGACCATCCTCCACTTCATCAGGAGCATGCCCAGGCATTGTAGGGAGGTCATACAGGCACATGGAGGCCACACACACTACTGAGCCTCATTTTGACTTGTTTTAAGGACATTACATTAAAGTTCGATCAGCCTGTAGTGTTTTTTTCCACTTTAATTTTGAGTGTAACTCCAAATCCAGACCTCCATAGGTTGCTAAATTTGATTTCCAGTGATAATTTTTGTGTGATTTTGTTGTCAGCACATTCAACTATGTAACGAACAAAGTATTTAATAAGAATATTTCATTCATTCAGATCTAGGACATCTTATTTTTGTGTTCCCTTTTGAGCAGTGTATAAATGGATGAATCTCACTGGATGACTATACTGCTTTAAGGGAATAATTGCACTTATACTCTCTTGCACTAATCTATGTGAATTTTAGTATCCTTTAGAACAGGAGAACAATAAGACACATCCTTAAGTGCTCTCCCTAGTCAAAGTCTTCTTTTCTCATAGAAAAAGAATTTACTGTAAATAAGTTTGTACCGGAATTGACTAGTACACATAAGATGTAATTACTTGGTAAACTCAAAGTACTACTTGTGTAATTGTTGCTATCTCGAATAGAGCTCCTAATAAAGATCATAAACTAATGTTTGGCACTCATATCCAATTAACATTAATTTTCTTACAGTTCTCACCCTTCAAGCACCCCCTGCCCTTTCCATACTTTAAAATATTTGCTTTTGATTAAATGGTTTTGAATTCTGTTCTAACAAATGCTTCATTTTTCTTCAATTACAGTAATATTTGGTTAAGTAGTTGTACCTTTACTATTCAAAACAACTTAAATTTCTACTCTCATCACTGAATGGGACAAGATCTGTGTTCAAATGCCATGCTTGAAGTTGTACATTCAGACAAATGTATATGTTAAATAACATATAGTGTGTTAATTTCTGTCCACAAACTTTATGGAGTCATAGTAATTCTCCTGAAGCATTTTTTTTCACCAAATATTTTAAAAAAATAAAGATAAACATTTTAATTACTGGAATGCAGGTTGCCTTTATAAAAACATAAAGGTTTTCCTTAAATTATATCTTTTTTAAACAAAGTTCTTCCCTCTTCTGAACCACTTGGGCAACAATGCCAAAGATGATACTTTTTTAATTTCCCATTTTTTGATCAGTATCTGGAAAGCTTCCTGCTGATTGTGGAACTCATTAATGGATTATCTAAAGTGGCAAGAAGCTAAATGGAATTGAAATCCAAAAAGCATCATTAATTCTCTCACAAGATCCTAAATCTAAACCTCAGAAGATGTTGAAAATTGGGATTTGAGGTGAAGCACAAATTGGAATAAAACTTACATTGTTGCCTTCTGTGTAACTTTCCGCGGAACAGAGACATTTGTAAGGATTATGACTTGTGTCACAATGATCAGCATGGCCAAAGCAATTACATCTGTAAAACAATAAAGCTTTTGATAAAAAAAAAAGCAAAACTGACTAGGAATTCCAGAACTTGCAGTACCAATGTACCTGGAGGGCAACATGTTGGATAAGGTTGATATATAATTTGAAAGGGCACCTTCCAGTTATTGTTTTTACATTGAAATGAATGTAACTGTCTGCTTCTGTTAAAGATAACCATCTCAGAAAAGGCTCAATTAAGTGTAGGAACTATTCCATGTCTCTCTTGATTCAGCATTTATAAATGTCAAATATGGGCTGCTTTCAAAGGGAGTAAACTGACAGGACATCTTGCAGACCAACTATTAACTGATCAAATGCACATTATGTGTTTCATTATATACTGTATAGATGCAAAATCATAATTATTAATTAGAGTTAACACCTGTATTTTCAACATTAACCCTTCCATCTGTAATTCCACAATTTCTTAAAACACATTATTTGCTTCTATTTATTTTCACAGTTTTTGACAAAATGTTCACTTTTCAAGTTACATCTTCATGGAACAAGACCTGGAGGTAATAATAATTTTAATTATAGCTCTGTATTTTCCATTGGTGCCAAATTCCAAGTAAGGCATACAGCTGGTAATGATATATACGAATATAACTCAACTAATAGCACAAATGCCAATGTATTTTATTTACTTACTGCAACAAATTGTAGAAGGGAAACACCTGACAGCTAAAGGTAAATATAGGCTTTCATCCTACAATGAAAAATCCTTAAAATAGATTAAATTATGTTTAATGATGTATTTCAAGATAAATAGATAATTTAATCCTTGCTAATGTGACACAAACAACGTGATGTCTCCATCTGCACTGTTATCTGGATATATAAGTATATCATGGAACAAACTATCCAGTTTGAGTAAATGGGAAAAGCTATTGGGAAAATCAATTATTATTGTTTACTTGCTAACTATACATTGGCCTCTCATCCGCTGTTTGTGTTTATATTGTACAGTCCTAATAAAATTTGTCATGCTTATGTTCCAAAGAGATTAACTTATATTTAACTGCATCTTTCAACTGGATTTCAGTAGGGTTTAAGAACAACTCATTATATGGATTACTTGTTGAAACTATTCTTCTATTGCCAATATCCCCAAAATCCTACTGAAAATGTGCACATATAAAGACATTTCATTTACAGAACAAATTCACTTATTTGAAAAATAGCATCTTAGCTTCTCCATAATTCAAACAGTTAAAATAATTAAAAGAAATATTGTAATGAAATTATAATGAATACTATATTCAAATAATAATAAATACAATTTGCTTCCTAAGGAAGTCTGGAGTGCTGTATTTTTGTCTAAAACATAAATTCCCAAGTGATTTAAAAAAATAGCACATTTTTCACTAGAGACCAGCCATTACTTAATTTGCATTTTATTTACAGGGTGCAATTATGCCTTCAACTAGACTTGTGACTTACCATGCACAATAAAGCTGTCAGTCATAGATAATATAACATTTTTTTGCTGACAGAAGCCTCATTTTTAAGAAGAAAAACTAGCCAAGACAAAGAATTTTGTTCATTACTAAATCCATTACATCTGCCACAGATGAGACACCATAATAAAAATTGAAAATATGGTAGATGATCCACTTTCAATCAGACATACCTCTCCATATGAATGATCAAAACCAAAATTTAAGCATTATTGATAAATGAAATAATATTAAAGATGGAAACTAGTCAAGCTATTTTAGATTTGAAATCAGTGCTGGAGTGCTATATTATATAAGGCAGAACGGTGCTTAAAATCTGAAAGTGAAAAAGATGTTTCAGAGTTGTTTGCAGTTCCTTATACAGGCATATTTTTTCCTGAGATTTTGTGACAATTGAGGATGGCGGTACTTACTCCCAGGAAAAGAAGTGACTGCTTTCAAGATATCCCTACTTGTTGCAAAGATTTTTTTAAAACTTTGTGTCCAAAACACTGCACGGCCATAATACTACATTCTCATTTATAATACCATGGTGATCTTTTATCCCAAAACTTAATTTTTAATAGGAACATCACACAACTCACCTTCCACTGATTGTAATTTCATCAATTCCATAGTATCTATGTCCAAAATTAACCCAGGGCATAGTAGTGTGATACTGGCCAAATAGATGAATCTTAATTTTTGTGACTTTGACAAACTCTTGAAGTGATGGTGTATTGTAAAAATCATTATATCCTGGGCGATGATTTGGTTCCGGAGTAAGAATACTGAAAGTAATATTTCCATGGGAATATGGAGGATGGCTATTGAAACATAGAAAAAAAAAAGAATGTCCCAATGTTTTCAGGGTTTTGAGAAATTGTATGGTTGTTTAAATGGAACAATTTTAGCCATGGGGAAAAAAGGAACCTGGTATAATTTCCAAGCACTAGAATGGAGGCATCATACTTATTTAAAATGATATGAATCCTTGTTTCAGATTACAAACCCTTCCAAGATAGAATTTACAATATAATAACAAACAAACAATAGTCAAAACTAGTGAAAATAAAACAACTGGCTTTTTAAATACTAATTTTAAAAACATTCTGTCCTGAATGATTTAAGTGAAGTCCACAGCAATGTGAGTCTTTAGGGTCTTGACAACTTACTTCTCCTAACGCATTCCAGAAGTAAGAAGCAACAACCTCTATCCCCTTGTGTCAACCAATCTGAGTAGCTTCGGAGAAAATCCTATTACTGATCTTAGAGATCTGATTGTTACGATGTTACAAGCAGAAATGACTTCAAATAAGTTTCTCTCAAATTGGTTAAAGGTTAAACATATTTTAAATGTAGCTTGGAAACATGGTACAGCTGGCGCAGCACAGGTATCCCATAAACTAACTGTTTTCCTCCCAGCAGCATCCAGATGGTTGCATTCTACACTAACCAAAGTTTCTGAATAATCATTAATAGCAGGCCCATAGTGTATTATTGTCATTTTCACTGGATGTCACTTGTGCTCACATAACTGGGCCAACTTCTAATTACTCCAGATAGAATCATAACTGATGTACCAGCTTAAAAATTATGTGGACCACTACTGCTCCTAAGTTTCTTTAATAAAAGACAAGTTCAGAATTCTCAAAGACAAGTTCAGAATTCCCATGATCATTTACCAGAAATGCAAGTTCATATAACAATTTTGTAAATCTTCATCCTGAACTGTTGGTTTTACTATCCCCAGTCTACCTTCCTATTATTATTAACTTTTAACTGAATTGTTCATATGCATTCCAAAACTCCATTGCATTCAGGAGACCTAAGTGAAAGTGGAATTTGAGCTGCATCCTGATGGGACTTCATTCAAAACGTATCATGGAGCTATAATTTTGTGATTCATAACAAAAATACAACTGACACTTAGTTAATCCACTAAGTGGATCTAGTTTTTTTAAAATAGTTCTCTAAATACTTCAGGGAAAAACAGCAATTCTTTCTCTGACTTCTTTTTTTTTTTATTGGGGTCATGCAAATATTGTAACAGTATATTCTTACAAAACTGCATTCAACCCAAACTAGTTTCTGTTCCTTTCTTAAAAGGGTATAATTCCTATGCAAAATAAACTCTGCCATCCCATTTGGATGTGTGTTTGTGTATGTGTGTGTGTGTGTGTGTGTACGCACGGGTATTTATATGTATGGTATTCAGCTTTGTTCGGGTATTTTCCCACGTCTTTATAGTATCTATTTTCCATTCTATTGTGATATCTACAGGTATCTGGTTCTTCAGATCACCACTTACTCCAAGAAGAAGTGAGGACAAATGAGCAGACTTAGCACTGGCTAATCAAAACCAGATATAAAACATATGCCAGAAAAAATTATAAATAAACATAAAAATGACTGATTTCCATATATATTAAAATTATTTTACTTGTACTAAAATAATTCTATCTAGACTTGGGAAGGTTATGCATAAATAATTCAGATCCGTTTCTTGTGATTTAATTCACAATTAGGATGTAAATCCCTACAATCAACTTTGGCTCTTGGTGACCTCTTGGGTGTGTCCTATATGGAATTGTTTTGCCATCTATTGCAATAAAATATGAAGACCTTTCTTAGACTTAAAATAACTTTCTTCTTAGGAGATATGAAAATGGATGGAAACTGAAGTGCATTCCTATTCTTTAGTGAATAGTTCCCTACTATAATTTGTTTGCAGATAAACACAACATAGATTTTATTTAAAACCCAAATAGCAATATATGGTAAATGTGCAAAGCATTTTTTTAATATATATTTTTCCCTGATCAGCAAGTATTTAAATCTAGGAGAACAAGTCAGATATTCTGTCAATTTTAGCTTTAAAATCACAATGATAACTCATTTCCTACCAGCTAATTCTCAAATGTACATGTGTTTTGGGGGTCTTTTTTTTCCAATTAGGTGTAATTTCCCTATGCAGCATCTTTTACATGTATCACTTTGTAGTATTGTTTATGTCATGTAATTGAAGGAAAGCACTGTTCCATTGTAAAACATTTCTACTGTAGCACCATTTCACACATTAACACTTGCACTTTTTTGAAGATGCACTATTGCATAAGCTGGATTGTTTTTAATATACTTTTGACTATACCCCAAAATATTACCTTTTGCTGAGCTAGTTAATGCTTATAATTTTTGCTTCTTTCCATCCCTTTGAATAGTATGAAAACCAGCTATGTTTTGCTGAATATGAATGCACTTTCAGCAACCTCTTACTCTTCTCCTGTATTGTAATGAAGATGTGTGGAAGTCCAGAGAAAATGCTGACACTTTTAATAGCCTACCTGCCAGTATTGAAAGGAATGGGAAGGGAGAGGCAAACAAACAGCAATTGTACCTGGTGGATTGGCCCCTGATGGGTTTTCAGACAAGTGTTACACATTCCTGATGCTGAGTGTTTTCTAAAATGTCCTAAGAGTTTGTGCAATTAGAGAGTTATAGCTAACAGCAGACTTTAAGGGGAAAAAGCAAGAAAGAAAAGCTATATTATTTACTTATGCAAAGCAACTGTCTAGAACAGTATGTAGCTGCAGAGATGTTTCTTTAGGCTATGTTAATCATTCACAATTCTCAAAGGTGAAGAGATGCGCTTACCAAGCTAAAGAAAGACAAATACCATGCAGTTTTTGTGAAAATCACTCTTTCACTACCTTCACTTTTTTTGACAATACAGTAAGTACCAAGTAAGTAAATACCTTTTCCCCATCTTGTAAGTTTTTCTGGTCTCTAAAACTATCCACCTTTAAAGACTTCTCACAATCAAGTTTTCAGTTTATTTACTAAAATATATGTATTGATCTGTTGGAATCCAGCAAGTGCCATTTGGCCTTTATAATAATTTCTGTAATATTATTAATAGTCACTATTAAACCTCTTATATATTCATTCATCTCCTTAGTATTTTTTTAATGAAAGGCATACTTTCAGAAAACTTAAAAGTTGTTATCAGATCATCTTAATGATCTGTTTCAGTTGAGGTAGGAAACTACTACTTTGGGTAGTATGCTGAAGATCAAATTCAAAGAGTGGGACTAAGAAATGAACAGGTACAATCAGGTGAAAAATACCCTACATATTAATACAGATAGACCTTGCTTACTAACTACCTTGTGCAATGACCATTTGAAGTTACGATAGTGCTGAAAAAATAACTCAAGGCACACATTTACAACTTTTACAGTTCCTCAGTCATGTGATCACCATTGGAGTCAGCATGCACTGTCCTATGGCTGACCTAATGTTTTTCTCATCTTCAGTTCCTTACAGATCAGAGAGATCAGAGAGGAAGGGATTATATGAGAATAAGCAGCACACAATGACAAAATGCATCAAAAACAACAGACCCAAATGCAATAGGCAAATAGCCAGAGTATTTTTTACAGTCTGTCAACTTACTCTCCTGTAATTTCTTTCTGCTTGTAGGGGAAGAAGTGAAATAAACAGGACAGGAATAGGAGAGTTTGCCTAAAGGTATTGCTTCTTTTTTTCTCTCCCCTCTCCTACTTGTTTAAGCAATTTTTCTAGTTTGCAGGGATGGCGAAAACAATTGATGTTACATGTGTGTGTGTTTGTGTGTGTGTGTATGTGTATTGGTGCATGTGTTTGGAATTTGGAAAGAAGAACACTCTGCTTTCAATAGTTTGCTACGAAAAGATAGTTGTGTGCCTGTGTCTCACCCTAATCAAGGTGGAATTTTATGGCCAAAGTAGAATTGTAATTTTCATTTTCTCTGGTCAAGAGTTGCATTCTTTGCCAAGATCAGGCAATACAAACCTTGGAAGCATTCTTGAAAGTAATTTATGACTCAAACACTTTAGCACCTAATTTGCAAATAAGCACACTGAAGGAGGACTTAATTGTGAGCTGCTGCCACTGCTCCTATGAGAGTCAAAATATTCTAGTCCAGCAGAGAAAATTATGTAAGGTATTGGTCAAAAAAGAGGTTCAGAAATATGGTTTCTAAACTTCTTCAAAACAATTTTGTGGGAGATTTCACACAATTGCTATAGCAGGGCTAGTCAATAATTTTATTTATATATTTTTATTTATTTTGGAATCACCTATCTCTCTCACAGAAGAACTTTTGATGCTATAAAATAAACACTAAAATATAAACACAGTATATCAAAGTTAAGATTTAAAAAGAAGCAAGAATGATTAAAAACAATGCTATCAGTTAATTAAAAGATGAAGAATGGGCTTGCTTCTTTGTGATCCCCAGGCAAGAGCCATGATTTCACACCTTTTCAGAAGGCCCGCCTCTGGGGGGAGAATATTTCAATGGTAGGGGGCTTCGTTTCTGGACCTTGACAGAATTGTTTAACTGACAGGACCTGCAATATACCTTTCCTACCTGATATAATGGGACAAAGACAGTTCTGTAAGTAGCCAGATCCTAGCCGTATAAGGCTAATAATGAAATACTTAATTAACAAAACAGCTGAGGTTTCTCTCCCTGCTAATAATAATAATAATAATAATAATAATAATAATAATAATAATAATAAAAATAAAAGTCAGTCTCTCAGATGTGCTTAATTTTCCCATTCTACTTTTTGTAAAACACACACACATTTATTTATTTGTTTGTTTGTTTATTGGGAGCTGAATAGACTTTCAAGTTTCGTTGTGGCTTCTCATCTTTTTTACGTTCTAAAAATACTACGTGAAAAAAAATGAAACCAAGTGGGACAAGAAGCCATATGGGAAAAAGAAAAGCACCTCCTTGCTTATTGGTGTCCAGTGCACTATGTTGTCTGTGCAAATATGAGATGTAACTTAATTCAATATAAGCTTGTTCATACCTAGCCACCTGTAGACAGTTTACAGAATCTGGATATTGCAGTGATCCGTTATTCTCCATTCCAACCACACTACAATCCCTTGCAAAATATTGCCAGTCTTCCCAACCAATGGAGGGGTGCTTTTTTCTTTGTATTCGGATTGCTTCAGGCTGAGGGCTGAAGAACTGGATTATAACATAAAACACCTGCAATGAACAGTAAAATGATAATTAATATGGAAGACTTATGCAGAATCAGAACATTTAAAGAAATCTTTAAGGTCCAACCCACTGCTCAATGTAAAATCTCCTAAAAGTATATCTGATCTAACCTTTTCCTCTGTGTTGTAGGACCTCATGCGAAAGAGAAGTCAACACATCACATGGCAGCCTGTTTCCACTGCCAATTCTTCCTGACATCTATCCTAAAGCTACTTCCTTGTAATTTTAATTTACTGGTTCTGGTCCCCAGACCAGCAGAAAATAAAGCCAGTCCCTTTTCTGTGTGATATACCTTCAGGTATTTAAAGATTATAATTCTCTCCTCTCAGGTATGTTTTCTCTGAACTAAACATACCCATTAAATGTTCCTCACAGAGCTCGATTTCCACACACCTCACCTACCAAGGTTAGCTCTCCTTGGTATCTTTTTTCTTAAATTTCTTTAATCAGTTATTGTTCTTTCCAAACATTAACAGTAACTTCACATTTGCACTTACTGCAAATGTTGACTTTTATATTCTTTTATCTTAGTAACAAAGATTCAAGTCATAATTCCAAAATATGACTTTTAAAAAAATAGCTATTCAAAATGTAATAATATATATCAAATTATGAAAAAACATTCCATTATTCCATTTAGAGAAAAAAAGAAATCCAAATAACAGAACTCCAAACTTTTTTTGAAGGGGGTGGGGGATTAACCTTTCTGACAATGCAAACATTTAAATAAATGAGTCTGGAAAACCAAGAAAACATTCTGGACGGGGACAGACAGACAGACAGACACACACACACACACACACACACACACACCTAAGTTTGGATGATGTCATCAGTTTTGTAAAAGAAAGATTCAGCAGCACTAATCATAAAGCAACATGTCTTTTACTATCCTGAAAAAATATATTTCCACAGCATTCAACTCAGACAGCCTGGATTCAGGTGACAATTGCACTAATAGAAGAACATATATAATTTTATAAGCTGTTTTTGTTTACTGAACTATGCTACAATCTATGTATTAATGGGAAAATCAGAACTTTGACCATAGGAAATAGAAATAAAGTACCATCATAAATATTTTTGTTGTTACCATATGTATTAAATATAATAACATTATGTTATTCATAATGTATTCCTTAAACAACTTTATAACCAGAAGGAGCTCTTCTGGAAAAGAAAAGATTACAAAAGTTCTAATAAAACAAGCAAAAATCATAGGCTATCATAGAAAAACTTTCCTAAAGTTAACAACCAACAAAGGATACAAATGAAAGTAATACTAAAGCAAGAGGTTCCTCACCTGTCTTTCTCCACATAATTCTACTCATATGTTCAATTATCATAAGTGAACTCTAATGCTTTATATTCTTGAGCATTTATTATACCCTATGCTAGGGGTGTCAAACTGGTGGCCTGCATACTGGATGCATCACATGTAGGCCATGCCCTCCCAGCTCCGCAAAGGGAAAAAATATTGCAAAACATCATGTGACAATAACATGACACGGCGAGTTTGACACCCATGCCCTGTGCTATTACTCTGTGCTCAGTGTCCCTTCTTCCATAATAATTGGTTTCTTATTATTAAAATAGAAGAAGTATTCATATTTTACAAGTCACAATCTAGTATGCCTTGTTTTACAAAGCAAAAAATCCAATGGATTCCCATAACAAAAACTAAACATTCAAGATTCTAAAATGCATGCTACTTTTTGACAAAGCAGTTCCTATTTCTAAAGCAAAGTACCCTAAACCAGATTTTTCTTCATCCAGGACAGAAGCCTCTTGTAGACTTTGGAACAACACACTGATATTTTGAGGTGATACAAAGATTTTTTTGTCAAAGCAAAAAACATTGTCTTATTCGCTGTTCTAAAATGCAACGGATCCAATATACATTTTTGTACCTTATCCATCATTACAAGATTTCTAAGCTATGTTTGGAAAAAACCAGAATTCTTTATATTTATCATACCACTTTAATGAACTTTTAGACAGGCTTCCATGAATTATTGGTTGTTTACCAGTACCAATCTGCTATGCAACACTTAATAGCCATATGTCAAGCATCAAGGTTGCATCCCTTGAAATCCAAGTGTGCACATAAGAATTTCCCAGAATTGTGAGATAGGAATTCCTGAATGCACAGAAAATCTTCAAAAAGCTAAAAGTGTTAAAAAATAATAATTTAGAATATCTAAAAATCATATGAATTCCTGAAATATTACATTTAAAGAATAGGAGACAAAGTACATGAAAAAGGTATATATTTACTTTTTGTGTCTTTGACTCCTGGTGACTATGCAGACAAGTCCATACAATTTTCTTGCTAACATATTTCAAAAATTGTTTGCCACTACAACAGTTTCAACTTATAACAGTTCATTTAGTGACCATTCAAAGTTACAACAGCAATGAAAAAAATGACTTATGACTGTTTTTTACACTTACAACCATGGCAGTCACATGACCCCATGGTCATGTGAACAAAATTCAGATGCTTGGCATCTGGTTCATGTTTATGATGGTTGCAGGTTCTGGAGTCATGTGATCACCTTTTGCGATCTTCTGCCAAGGGAAGTCAATGGAGAAGCCAGATTCACTTAACAAACATATTACTAACAGCAGAGATTTACCTAACATGAATAAATCTATGGCAAGAAAGGCAGTAAAGGGGAAAAAACTCACTTGACAAATGTCTCACTTAGTATCAGAATAATTGGGCTCAACTGTGGTTGTAAGTCAAGTACTACTTGTATTTTCTTCCTAGGCTGGCACAAGTCTCTACTTGGCTTTGTTCATAAAGCAAGATTAAAACTCATGGTGTGTGGTTCCTAGCCCAGTGACTTTAATTACTACACCAAACTGCTTGTCGTGTTTATCTCCCCTCAAGAGAAACCAGCTGATAACAAAATAATTAACCCACGTATATTGATCCTTATTTATCCTTATTACATTTGGAATATGCTTGAATTTCTGTTAATTAATGAAAACAGGAAACAAGAAAGGAGAGAACTTTAAACTTACCTGGTACTGTCCATTTTCTAAGTCAATGGTGATGGTTACTCCATGACGTAGATGTTCAGTGGTGTTAAATATAGATGAAATCCACGTAGTCCCAATATCATTATCATTGATATAGCTTAAAGGGTGAGCTTCAGGGTTTAGTCTGAGCACTCTGTCATTCGTTGTGTCATCTGCACCATTAGGAATGCAATACCTCTGAACCAAAGGATGTACCCTTGGGTGACTTCCAGGACAGCGACATTCTGATTGAATATGAAGTTGAGGAATTTTTCCAGACCATACTTCAAAAATGTCTCTAAAATAATAGAAATAAATAAGAAATCAGTAAGGCACATCACAAAGAAATGAGAAAGGGTGGTTTTTAAATGCCTAGGTACAAGATTATGCACAAATGTCCTATGCAAGGACTTGCAGATAAAAACCATCAGACTGGTAGGCACAAAAAACACAGACTTCTCAATTATGGCCCAATTTTTACAGAAGGATTTTCTAACGGAAGGTGATTGACCTCCTTTCTAACTGTTTTCAAACAGGCTTTAAAGAGCTGCTTTTAGCTGAAAAGCAGAGGTAATTCTCAGTTAATGATAGTAATGGGAACCAGAATTTCCTTTGTTAAGCAATGTGATTGTGAAACTCAATGTCACATAACTGCAACTCTTAGCAATGGCAATGTGGGCCCTCCCCATTATTATCAATAAGTGAGGAAGGTAGATGGTCAAGCAAGTCCCAAGTAGTTCACAATCAGGCCAGCACATAGGTGAAAGGGTACAGGTGTGGTGATGCCAAATAGGGGAAGATGTCCAAGCAGCTTGTAAGGCATGATGTGATCCCGATGGGGAGTGGCTGCTGGCAGGCAGGGGAAAGTGCAAATGACTTACTGGACCAACTTAAGACTTTCCCTGCCAGATTTTGCTTGTGGGAAGCCACAGTGAAGATTGCAAATGGCAATAAGATCACCGCAAGATTATACAGCTGTCATAAGTATAAAACAGTTGCCAAGCATCCAGATTACTATTGTGTAACTGCAGAGGTGCTACGACAGCTGGAACTTTGGACCCTGGTCATAAATCTCATTTTTCAGTGCTACTTTAATGGCGTTAAGCATGGACTACCTGAAAATTCAGCATTATTAATCATTTTAACTTTAGTTTAGTTGTCCTTTATTGTATTTCTTGGTTTTCCCTGAAAAATAAATTGGGATTTATTTTCATTCACTCAACTGTATTTTAGATTTATTTCTTATTAAGTTATTAGTTTATTTATGCACTTTTAATGAAACTTTTTTGACATGTTTCATTATCTAAAGAGCAGTATAGACAAATTGAAATCACCAGTATCTAAAATATATTAACATAGGCAGTTCTAACAAATTTGTGAATTAAAAAGATTATAAATAGGAAAGGAGATATTTTTTGTTGCAATGAATCACTAATTGCTGGATTTTGAAAAATTAATATTTTAATAATACAATACCACAATATTGGCACACAAAATAACCCTTCAAAGGCACTTCAAACATATATTATTTTTATGCTATATGATCTTCAAAGCTCCACACCACAGTATTATGGAAAATGCTTTGTATGTCTACTATACATGCAGATATCTATTTAATCTAACCTATTTATTTTGCTTAAAAATGTAGCATTTTTGACTGAAAGGGAAGGAACGACTATAACACAAGTTCTGAAGGCAAATATAGGTTTTCCATGTTCTACAACAGTTGAGAGTGTTTACAGTGTTTCAGTGTGAATGTTTTACATGAGAATTAGGAAGATGCCATAAAGAAATCAGTTATGCTTTAGGAAAATCTCACAACATATGGATATTATGTGATTGGTGTACAGGGGCTTTTATTTGTTTAATTTCTTGCTTAATATCTTGAAAGTACAACTGCTTGAATCCATGCAACCAATTAAAAGCCTTCTTTGCATTCAGGTTGCATGAAGGTACAGTTACACATCCAATGACTTTAAAAAGCCCAAGAAACCACATTATCATAGTTACATCATTTTTATCTTGATAATTGCATTTTTAAGTTTTGTAAAATTGAGAAAGTCCCTACCTGTTTGTAAGGGCCATTTGGTACAATCTGAAATCTTGCATCTTCCCAACAAATTGCTCTGAACCTGCAAAAATACATTATAAATAAATAATCCGGTTCCATCAACCAGAAAACAACTCTGTGCTGCTTGAGGAAATCTTAAATTCAGCACACAGAGCTCTCTCTTGCACAATTACCATTTTTGAATGAAACCATCTTGGTTCCGGACAAAACTATGGAGGGCAGTAACTTAATTCTTTTGATTAAAATGATTTATAATAACTTTATGGGAACATTTTGTACCTATCCCTTATCTGATTACAGAGGTGGCAGAAAAACTGGCTCATTAGACAGAAGTAATGAGCCAGTCCATGTGCCATCTCTAATTAGAGAAGAGATATACTGGAGACAACTGTAGCTCTCACTTTACGTGGTAAAGATTAAAGGTTTATTTTTTAAAGATTTCTTTCTGCCTTGCATAAGTGTGTGTCTGTATCTGATATTCAAAATAACAGTGCCAAACACAAGCACTTTGAAAGGAGAAAACTTTCAAGTTTTGATATATAGGAGCTCAGTGGTTTTTGAGAATAAATCAAACTTTCTTCAGGTCAGATGCAGATATATTTAGGACTCCGCTCCAAATTACACTTTGTTCTGGATCAGTGATACTCAGCCTTAATAAATCTGCCGAACCAATTCATCACCAAACAGAATTTCAGGGAGCTGCAAAATCACTGAAACCTTATATTGACAGCTATGGTCAGAAAATGGCGGGGCAGGAGGGGGGATCAATTTCCTCATCACCAAATATTCACTCCAGATTACTTCAATACATGGGTATTTCCGAGACATGTTTTTTCCCCCTTACTCCTTTTCCTTAGCTTACTAAATGAAACTTTCCCAAAAGTTTTAATATTGTGTTTTTAACTGACAAAGGAACTTACATTTCTTATTGCAGAAACAGAAAAAAACAGTTTATGTTCCAAACACTTGAGGGAGAAGATGAATAAGGGTCTAGGTCTTAGATGGCCAAAATCAGTAAAATCACATATGTGACAATAGCAATAGCGCTTAGATTTATATTCTGCTTCACAGTGCTTCACAGCCCTCTTTAAGTGGTTTACAACATCAGCATTGTCTCCAACAATCTGGGTCCTCATTTTCCCAATCTCAGAAGGATGGATGAGTCAACCTTGAGCAGGTCAGGATTGAATTCTGGCTGTGGACAGAGTTAGCCTGCAATACTGCATTTTAACCACTGTGTCACCAAGACAAGATTTTGTTTCCATAATCTAATATTTATCTTCTAAAAACTTGTAATTCTAACCTGATCACATGTAAAGAGCACATTAGAATTCAAAAATAATTCAGTTTTGGCTTTCAAACAATGAAATCTTTATCCATAGAAAGAAGGCATGATTGTTTTATTCACTCTTGTCCTTAAGTCAGACATCCAAGCAGCTCTTCAAATAGATTCTTGATAGTCTTGAGCAAGCTCTACTTTCTCCTGGTGGAGTAAGTACTGAGCTAATATTACCATGCTATTGATGGCTACTAATGGGAAAAATGAGGGCCAATTTGATGTAGTGGTTAAGGCATCAGCCTAGAAACCAGGAGACTGTGAATTCTAGCCCTGATGTGGACATGAAGCCAGCTGGGTAATTAAGCCAATCACACTCTCTCAGCCCTAGGAAGGAAGAAATGGCCAACAGCTTCTGAAAAACCTTGCCAAGAAATGCAAAAAAAGGGGGGGGGGTAGTTTAACCAATTATAGTTATATTAAAGTAACATTATAAACAGAGCACTTGTATGTGGTAATATATTTTATTCTGTGGGTCCTTGTATAGCTTTGCATA